GCAATGGACTTAAGACCACCCAGTCAGCCCCCCAAATGGTGCTTTGCCAAGGAATAGGACGAAACTTCTATAGTTCCCTATTTATGCAGCAAAGACTCATTTACCTTATTGCTTTGACAGCTGCATGTCTCCCACCAAAAAAAATAAATAAAATGTTGCCATGATTAACTTGCCTTTCTGCTAGCAAGCAGCTGAGGTTGTCAGGGTTTCCTCACATCTCTCTCCCCATCCCCATCCCCTGCCCCCCCCACCCCCTACCCCAGTCTCCTTAAGCACTATATGCCTCGGCCTGCTGTAGAGTCAGTGAATCCGACCAACTGTCCAACAATGCTGTTTGAATTCCTGGATAGTAAATTAAAAAGGAACTAATATTCGATGACTCTCCATTCTTCTGCATTCCCTCCCTGCTCTTTGCTGCAGTACAAAACTTTGGAGAATGTAAAATACATTCAGTAGGTTTACGGAGGGAGGGAGAGAGGGAGGGAGGGAGGGAGGGGATAAATGGCAACCTGATGATTGCTAGTTTATCTTTAATAGCTTTTTCCATTTTCAGTTCAATTTCACCTAAATTGTAACATGGTTCTGATTCCATCACTGGTTTACTGTGAGTTGCAGGAAAGTACTAGTTTCTTATGTCAATTGATTTAAAATGGCTGTTTTGAAAACTTTCAGAGATTGCACTATGAATATATTTACAATATTCCACTTGGCAATATACACTATATACAATTGAAACATGTAATGATTAAACAGTATGGCAACCTTGAAAGTATCTCCAATATTAGGATCCATAAGAGATAACGCTCTTGATTTGAAACCAGTAATCCAATATTATAAGGAATTAAAAAACAGAATAAAAATTAGTATTAGGTGAAATGTGAAATGGAGAAATGGAATATCCAAAATTGGAAAATAATTGGGCCCGGTGTTTAAGAAGCTAAAACATACTTTCTTTAAGAATGAAATTCATTAATCAGAAATTCTTATTTATATACAGTATATTGAATGCTTCAACTGATTTTTTTAAAAAATGCTGGATATCAGATATTTTTTGTGCTGGCATAAGTAATTTTAAGATTTTTTAACTGATATTTAGTTTTGTCCAGTTATAGCTTTGATTTCAAATGACTTGTTAATATTATCATAAACATATAAACATGGTGGTGAAATATATTCCTAAAACATGGAATCTGCATTTCACAAAAACCTTGAACTCCTCCAAGTCTGGAACATGGCAAGCAAGGTAATTGTATGTAAACTGAAAGAAACCTATCCCGATATTAAGAATTGGTTTCAGAATGATTTTTGTCTATGTTTTGTTATGTTTTAAAAATGAGAAGGTACTTAAAAGAATATATTCCTATATCATCTGGATCAAATGATAAGGTTGAGAAATGAATTGATTTTATGTATATCAATAGCAGATTGATATTACACGGATTTTTAATTAATTTCCCTTTTCTGTTCCATTTAGTTTAGTCACTATAACTTTTTTCGTTGCTACATATCCTGTCAACTTTCTCAAATAAAAATTAATAAAATTAAAAACATAAATAAAAAGATAACAGAAAGAGCAGACTAGGTCTTTTTCTACCATCGGTTCTTTCTTTCCTTTCTTCCTTCCCTCTTTTTCTTTCCCTTCATTGTCTGTCTGCCTGCCTGCCTGCTTGCCTCTCTATCTATCTATCGTTCTATCAATCATCTATCATCTATCTATCTATCTTATATTTTGCTAGTTGGTGGGTGAAAGTTATTCACAATTTCATAGTGAACATATTCTAGCTAGGTTATATTAATCATATTACCATACTCACCCAGCATGGCATTTGGCATTATTTCATCTGGAAAACACACATGGTCCATTTCTCATCAATCAGGGATTGTCATATAGGGGGACCCAGGAAATTTGTGATTTCTGTACCTGTGCCTGCCATTTGGAGTATCGTAATGTTTACGATTCAGATAACTCTAATTCTGCTCATCTTTCAGAAAGCCTTGGAGATCTGGCTGTTATTCCTGGCATGGGAGTCAGGAGGCCAATTGAATCCACATTGTTGGGGCGTGCTGCTTTCAGTAGCTGAAAACATTGCATTTGATTTGTTATGATATGCATGTTTTCAAAACTTTTACTACTCACATTAGTGAGATAGAAGGCAGGCAATATTAATCAATCATCAGTCAATCAATCTTAATGGTAGATAGCCAGTTGGTATCTTTTATTTATTTGTGAGCACTAACAAAACTCACTGTAGAAATGAAGTAACCCTAAGACTTCTCCTAGCTCCCTTGTGTTTAAAATTCAATTGCTACATATTCCCAATAACAAGTGAGAGCAGTAAAAATGCCATGGCAGGAATAATTCCACTTTCTGGCCACTGCGAAATCATGTTCACTGGTAATTTTTCCTTTACTAAAATTGGTTCCTTAGCTTTCAATTCAGATGGCATACTAAATGGATCACAGGGAATGGAATTTTGGGGGCAAGAGGACATAATTCCAAGGAACAGGAAGTTTCAGGGACTATCAGAGGCTTCCTTATTGTGTTATTATTAGAGGCCGGGACCAATGATTGTTCAGCTAGTATAATAATCAGAGGATGACTTGCCTGCATGATATGAAGATTCAAGATATTGTGTACCTTTTAGTTCAGTAGCAGAGGTAGCATCACAAGGAACTGGTACTTATGGTGCATATCAACACCAAAGACATAAGGAAAAGTAGGTTTGCATCCTTATGTTTTGAAAAGATTTGATTTAGCCTATCAAATCTAATCTACTGAGCCATACAAATCCAGATTAATAATTATTAACTGGTTTGTCATTTTCTGATTCCCCACTTCCCACCAAGCCTTTTGCAAAGACAGATTGGAAGGGAAAACACAGGTTTTGTCTCTGATGAGCATAATCACCATAGAAAACAACCATATACACAGTATAATAATTACATGGGTTTAGTGAATCACAAAGTTGAATATTGTTGTATCTTTAGTGCCGCAGACTAGGTTATTTGTGGGACTTTCCCCAAGATTTTCTCCCTGTTCTAACAGGTCAGACTGTTTTTGTGAGCTGCCCAGAGTTGAAATGGGCCGCCATTTAAATAATGTCATACATATAAATAAATAATAATTGACTTTTCAATTTCAGCACAACTGAAATTGTTGTGCTGAAAATGATCAGTATCATTTTCCTAAGGAATGTTAAGGAGGGAAGACTATTTAAAATAGTGATTACATAGTTACCAAACACTGTCTTGTAGCAATCTGATTCCAGAAAGTATAGAGTGTAGAAAATATAGCAGAAAAATTAGCAGGTACCAAAGCAGCAAATAACAGATATGGAATAGGCCACTTTTACACATCACACATAAAAAATACTTATCTCTTATTTTATAACCTCAAAGTGTTGGGCTCTGACCAGAATATTTTAATGAAACTTGTTGTGAAATATTATTTAAGTTGAGAAAACAATTGAGAAAGTGGCCTTTCAATTTTCGGGCACTTAGCTGATTCATAGAATGGTTACTTGGCTAGTTACACACAACTACCAATAGGCAGTACCAAGTGTGCAACACATTTGATACTAGCAAGCTTTGCGGTTTAACATTTGTAGTGGTTTTAGCATCTTGATTTAGAACTGCTTACTCTTCTCTCTGTAATCTACCAGCATCTGATCTATCAATTACTGTATTTCATAGTTTCTCCTACGTACTTTTCTTATTCTTATCAGTTTCCACCAGAAACAGAATCTGTCCTCTTGTTTTTAGCCATCCTGAATTGCAGCTTAAAAGGCCTGGCAAATGTCAGCAATTTGTAATTATCTTTTCACTTTATCAACCTTGTATTGTATATCTCAATCATGTTTTTTTTTCAACTGTCCATTCTTTTCTAATGAATTCTATTTTGAGTTTTATCCGTTATTTACTATTCAAGCTGTGTTATCAGTAAAACTGAAGGTGGATTTATACTATTATGCTGAATCGATGTGAATTTTAAATGGAACAGACACAAATATATGCTGAAACCAGAATGGTACCTGCAGATAGCTGAGGATATTTTCACTTTTATTTCAAGAATGATTGTCACTGACCACTTACTATCTAATTTCATTATTTTCAGGAAAAAAATACTTGAAATATAATAAAGTATCAATTATATAATAAGAAAATCACAGTTTGACTCAACTGTAGAAATTGCAATTGCCAATGTTCAATATCCTTCTGCAGTTTACATATTCAGAATTTTAAAAATAGAAGTCCTGAGATACAATTTTAATTATCTCTTAATACAGAAAAAAAATGCTTCATTGTATTTATTAGCATGGAAATGCACATCATTTTAACTAGACGAATTCAAAACATTAAAACTTTATGATCAGGAAAAAAATGATGAATTCAGACATCTGAGTTAAAAGAGAACTTATTCACTTTGGTGTTGGGAAAAGTAAATCCATACATACATTTTATTATGAAATGAACAGACATTTTTCACACAGCATTCCACATCCCTACAGGAGCTCTGTTATTTAAATAAAATAATTTATAATATTCAGTTACCATGTAAATCTTTTTTCAAATTAAACCTACAGCAAATATATTCAAATTGAAAAAAAAGCCTAGAGAATGATCAAGATCCATATCTAAGAACAAAAAAAAAATTAAAATTGTATTAAGAACTTTTCTGAACAGAGTTACAAAGTGTATTTACATATTGTACTATATAGCACAGGGGTCCCCAAACTTGGCAACTATAAGACTTGTGGACTTCAACTCCCAGAATTCTGGGGGTTGAAGTCCACAAGTCTTAACGTTGCCAAGTTTGGAGACCTCTGATATAACAGGAAAAGATCATTCTTTACTGGACTGGGATCAGTGGGGCAGGTTCCTTCTCTCTGATTCTGATCAACATCAAACAGAGAAATCATTTCTCTAGGCAGTGAAGAAATATAGACAGCTGCCCCACAGGTGGTCCAAGAGATAATTTCCCAAATATCTGAGCCCAAAAGTCTTCACAACCATCAAAATTTAATTTGGGGTAATATAGTAACAGAAAGGAAGCACAGAATCATTTTTTAGGTATGTAAGGACTCAACTTTAAACTGTTACAACAGATATTTGTACTGAGCAATACTTTCAAGTCACAAGTTAAATGAACATTTCCCCACAGTTAATAGCTAAATTATATTCTTCGCCATAATGTTTTCTCATTATTTGCCGGATCGCTTTTCATCCTTGTCCTTTGTGTTCTGGTTCCCGTGCTTGTGCTTGTGCCTATGCCTGGGAGGAGAGTAGCTGACTCTTCTCCTAGACCGAAAACTAGGTTTGTAAGGATGCAGTCTGTGTCTCTTTGGTTTGGTTTCTTCTTCCCTGCTCTGACTTGGCTCAGATTCCTTATTTTCTTCTTGAGGCTTCTGTTCTTGGTCTTGCTCTGTTGGTGAGTGCAATGTGTTCTTAATAGTGTTAATGAGAAACCTTTTATTTGTACTGGCAAGAGGGCACTTCATCCTGCGAAAGTATCAAAAAGCAGTAATATAATATCTAAAATACACACAAAAATAAACATTATGAATATACAAAATGAGTACTACAGCTATTTTATTTTGGCTTTCCTTGTATGCCACCTAGTGTATACTTGAAGTACAGAAAGAAGCAGTCAAGACACGGGCATTTTATCACAGGTTTACCCCCCCTCCCCAAAATCAAAGACTTAATTTCTTCATTAAAAGATATAGAATATCTAGTGACATCTGCACATCTGTTACAAATGTAATTATAGACATTCATGTGACAAAATAAACTCTAACAGATAGAAGCATTTGCCACAATAAATTTGTTATGACATAAACCTTTGTGCTTTACTGTAAAAGATTTAACAGTTTTTCCTTAGCTATACATGAACAAGGAATTTAAATCTGACATGCTTCAGCTATTAGATTCGTAAATTAAGTACACATCCCAAAGCATTCTTATAAACCACTTATTTTTTGAATATTTGGTACATAATTATGTTCATTCTTAGACATTACTAAATTAATTACCAACATTGAAATTAAAATAATTGCAAACCAATATTCTTTCAGAAATAAGTGACAAATATGTCACAACTATTAAAAATCTCAAATCTCAAATCAGGTTAAAATTACTATTTTCAGATAGGGAATATCCTCTATTTTCCAAAATGCCAAAAAATATTAACTAACGGTAGATGGGAAAAATAGACTTGCTGGCTTCTTTTACTGAAACTCTTCTTTCTTGATAAAAGACCTCACAAGTATTCCAGATTTCTGAATTCAGAAAGAGGACCCCATCTTAAAAATGTCTTTGTGAGCTATTTGCTTATTTGTTGACTATGCAACCATAGTGAGTTGACAGAATATGACAATTTCATGTGATTTATTTTCAAGTACTAAAATAGCAATCATATCCTGCTGATTATTATGGTGCAACTTAGGATTCCAAGAATGTAGCATTAATTGCCAGAGTATTTTGATCTGATAAAATTAGGGCATCCAGTTAAACCTGTTTTTATAGCTCATTAATCCCACAGTAGCTACAAGGAATTTTCACTGGATATGAGTCTATTACTTACACTGAAGAAGGAAAGTGCTACCAGGTTCCTGAGAAAGTAAAATTGTTTCTACACTTGCAACCACATGCCATAAATTCATCCAAGAGTAACAGCATTATTGGAGTCTCTAGAATACCAGTATCATCTATTTCCATTAAAAAAATAAGAGCTTCTGACGGGTGGCCAAGTAAGGTCTCTTTTCAAATAGGAAGAATTGAATTATTTAGACATATTCCATTCTTTTTCTTTCTATATAGCACTCCAAGTAGACATTCATATATCTCTGTTTTCATTTCAGAAATATAGAAACATTCTAGAGAAATGTTTTACCAGAAAATGTGTTCAAATTTTTAAGACAATTACAGCTAGATACTGAATATAATAGACAATGACCAATATAATTTCCAAACAAGTAAGAAAAACTATACATAAAAGAAACTAATTCTTATTCTTAGTTATGTGTCTGTCTACTTACCAACAAAAAATACAATATTTTAATCCACTGGTGAAGAATTTATATGACAATGCCCACTATGCATTCTTACTCTAGTCCTTAGTGAGACTTATTTATTAAAGCACATTTGAAATTGCAATGTTTAGGATTTTTTTAAAATAAATATTATTTTAAAACATATTTAGCTTGAAGAACTTACCAGCCCATGGGCCCCATGGTTTCTGCTCTAGTTTTCCCACGCTTAGCTTCTGTCAATAGCTCTTCCACTGCCTTCCTAAATATTAAAAACAAATATTAATTTAACATCTCTTCCAATACCTTTGGAATGTGGGTGTGTTTCTTTCATCCAACAGTAATGCAGATTATTACAATTCACTCAAACTGCAGTCCCTGAATCAAAATCAAACTATAATAATTGAAATTCAGATTGCAAATAATAATCTTTCATGTTCTAGATCCCATTAGTCACTGGACAGACACTTAGGTATTTATCTAGAGAGTCGCTATCTAGACAGCCAGTTAGGTATATAATTAAGGTGCCAATCTACAAGCAGCCTATAACTTTAATCCTCCCTTAGGCATAGAAACCCGCTGGGTAACTTTGGACTAATCATTCTTTCTCAGGCCAAATCACCCTCCCAGAGTTTTTGTGGTAGAAATAAAAGGATGTAAAGATACGTTAAGATTTCTTTTATCACATTTTAGATACCTCTACTCGATTTTTCCTCCACTTGATGCATAGAGCTTGTCAGCTATATAAATTGGGGAAAATGTTTTAATTTTAATTATATTAAAATTGGTTAAAATCTCATATGGACACAAGGAAATCAGCAGAGAGATTGGTAACAGTAATATATTGTGATCATGAATAATTTGTCCAATATTTTTGTATGGATTAATTTTCCCATTAGAATTACAGCATACACTTTTATTCCACTTACATTACTTATCCTTAATATAAGTTTATAGACTGGGGTTAAGGTACCTACAAGATAAGATAACCCAAGTACATCTCCTTAAAGTACCTAACTTTTTATAAAGTCTATGTTTAAGTGGGAAGTTGCAATGCTGATCACTAAGTTTTATTTGCAATAATATATCTAGCTTTCTCACAGCTCTCTAGGCACTGATACAACATTCACCTGTATTATGGAAGGTGGAGTCATCATATACACTTTACTCTATTTGCTACCTAATTTATCAGACATCTGAATCTTTTGATCTCTTTTTCTAATCCTGATATTGATGCTAATTAATTGTGGAAAACTGATTTTAATTCCGATTGTTCTAGATGATGGTGGAAGCTTTAATCTCACTCTTCTAGTTATCTAAACTTTAGGGGTGAGGCATTTCTATCAATTACAATAATAAAGTTTTTAACTGATTTAGGGGCAAAGAAGAGGCTGAACAAAAAGGTGTGTTTTGACCCCTGTCCTTTACCTAGTATACCTATTTTTTCAGCCTTCAAAGAATTTCACAGGAACAAAAAGACTTTTTTAAAAAAACTTGTAATTTCTGATCCCAAGAGAAAAAATGCTTTCTTGCATGAATATGCAGAGATATTTATAAGGGAACTATGATAGTTTGTATGCTGCCATTTGTGTACCTATTTATCTCTTTTAAGAGTTAAAGTAATCTGCAAAATAGAATTAGGGTTTTGAGAACAAAAAAATTTCAGACTATGTTAACATTCATTATTCTTTCCTCCCTAGTCAATTATTTTCTAGCTGTAAATGGATCACACTGGAGTTATACTACTTGCCAATACTGTATCTTGAGTGTACCATTCCAACACTTGTAAATCGTTGATGGGATACAGGAAACAGCATGTTGGCTTGCAAGGTGGCTCTAGATCACAGATCCTAGCATGCATAGAGTAAGCTTTAAATAAAACCAGGCTTTAGCTATACTTGTGGCATACAAATAAATATGTGCCAACCTAGACTCATATTGCACCTTACATTTAGCAAGGAATGCTACATGTGACATAAGTACAACAAAAGAAAATGCCCTATTCTTCATTTGCCACTGTTTCTCTTACTAAAACACATGCAAGTTACAATTGGTCAGTCATGCTAGGCAGTCAGTATTCATGAACCCACCTGTTGACAACCACGGCATATAGAATCTCAAGAAAAAGGGACCATCAGGTTAAAGGAAGCGGAAGGTCCTTGTTTAAAATATTATTTCTGTAGCAATAGGTAAATACAGAAAATCTGTGCTGGATTTGTATTCTATGGCACTAAGTCTTTTTTTCTCTTTTCTATACCAGTTAAAAAATTGGGATTGCTATCTTTGAAGTACACCACAAAATACGTTACATGAATAACACATTTTCTTTACAATTGCCTAATTTTGGCAACACTCATTTGGAACTCTTGTCTCTATATGGTAAATACTATCATATAGTCTTGTATGCTATTTTGGATTTTCTCTTGTTTAATTTATTTGATCCCGATCTGAAGTTCTCTGCCAGCTATCTCCTCGCACACTGTTTGCATGTTCCTATTTAAAGCTGCACACTTTTTATATAATAGATTTGCTTTCCCCTTTTGGCAAAATGGGTGGCTCTTTGTTTAGGGTCCATTGGCTCAGGGAGAATTGCCACCTTTGGTCTTGGATGGGGCTACCACAAACAGACCCTGTGCATAATCTAGGGGTTTTCCTGAACGCACAACTCCTATTCGAAGAGCAGGTGGCGGTCGTGGCCAGGAAGGCCTTTGCGCAACTGCGGGTTGTGCACCAGTTATGCAGTTTCCTGGACCAGTGGTCCCTACTCACCGTCATTCATGCCCTAGCCTCTTCCCATCTTGATTATTGCAACGCGCTCTACATGGGGCTGCCGTTGAAGAACATCCAGAAGCTCCAGTTGGTGCAAAATGCAGTGGCCTGGATGGCTTTGTGCAGACCCTGGTGCGCACATGTTTCACCTCTCATGTGGGAGCTGCATTGGTTGCCAATTTGCTTCCGGGTGCAATTCAAGGTTCTGGTTGTCACCTTTAATGGCTTGGGACCAGATTAACTGAGGGAACATATCTTGCCGGTTACATCTACCCAACCCATTGGAGTGGGGAGACAGGGAAAGCTGTGGGTCCCATCCTGGTGGGACCCAGAAGAATGTCCTCCTCCGTGGTGGCTCCCTCTCTCTGGAACATCATCCCCCAAAGATTAGAATGCCCCCTCTCTAATACTCTTCTGGAAGGCACTGAAGATCTGGTTCTGCCAGCGGGCCTGGGGAACCCAGAATGGGATGGAATCCATCAAATGGCTTGTGTGATCTGCTGTCATCGGGGCAGGGTGGGTAGGAGTTGGGGTGATTTTTTATTTTTTTTTCCAGATTTTGTTCTATTGTACTTTGTTAATTTATTTGATTTTTTTTTTATTTTAAATATGGTTTTACATTCTGTAAACCGCCGCAAGTCGCCATGGGTGAATAGGCGGCAATATAAATTCTATAAATAAATAAATATATGACTGTCTTATATCTTGTGAGTCCAAAACTTCTTTGGCACTAGATGTATTGTTTACAATTCTGCAACTTAAAAAGTGTTGGACTTGTAGCACCAATAGTAGAAAAATAGCCCCTAGTATTGAATCTTCTCAATCAATCACAATTTATAATCAATGGCAAACACATTAAATAGCTATCCCAATTCCCGATTCTCCATTCTTCACATATTCCCTACAAACATCTCTACATCTGCAGCATAGTTAGAAGGATAGAATTGGGATAATTCAGTTTAGGCTTTGTAACTGTTTTATCATTTAGTCATTGCAAACTGACAAGAACCCTCCTGATTGAACTCTGCAAGTAGATAGAAAGTGACGTCATAGCCCCCCCCCTTTATTTTAGGGACAGTAATTTTAAAAAACCACCACTTTCACTCCCACGTTTGGATCCAATATTTCTTTATGGACAGAAAAGGACACCAGGAATTTGATCCCAGAGTTAAGGCTAGGCAACTCTTCAAGCCCTCCAGCAAATGTCCCGGGTCAAAAACTGTTCTAGGTTGCAATTCCCCGAGACCTGCAGCCTTAATTCTGGGAAACCCTTGGCCAGCCCACAACTACGCGGTTAGTCAGTGAGGCAGCATCACTTGACTGAGTAATAAAACCGCTCCAGGCTAACCTGGTGCCCGTGAAGACGGAGTACAATTCCTATAATTCTTTGGCCTGGCTGGGGATGATGGGAAATTGTCCTCCCAGTCCCCTGGCCGGCCCCAGATTAGAGAAGGGTGCCTGCTCGCCCTCCGCTTTGGCACGCAGCCGGCGGGCAGAGCACGAGCGCCTTCCGTCTTTTCGCCGCCTTCCAATCTCACCTCTCCAGCTCAGCATCGTCCGCCATGGCGGGCAGCGGTCGGGCGGGGGGTGGGGGGAAGCCGCTCTCAAGCTCCCACCGCCTCCATCTTGCTCGTCTTGCCGGAAGCGCAGCGGCAGTTCCGCGAGAGCGCGGGCGACGAGCACCAACAGCCGCTCGCGAGGACGCCGAAAAGGGGCGGGGCTCGGCAGCAGGCAGCCCTCAGCCCCGCCCTCCCCGGCATAGCTCGCCCTCTGGCTCATCCGAAGCGGCTCCTCTTGGGGGAGGGAGGGGGAGGGGGCGTGGCAGCTGCTGCCGGGGCGGGGCTTACATCTGACTGGAAACCTGCGGAGGGGATTGCGGATGCTAATGGAAACGTGCTGTGGTCCTGTCTGTAGATGGAAGTTTTGATCTGCTATACCCTTTGGCCTGGGATAGTCTCCTTAACTTAACGCAACTTGTTTGTCTGACATAGTTGCATACAAGTGTAGTAGCACAGGTTTGTGTGTGTGCTTATACACATACTGTATATTGGTTGGATGGATGTGGATGTAAACACACACAGCAGATAGCTAAATCATATACAAACACATCCTTAGATAGACATAACACATAGGCCTGTATCCATAACCCTAATTCCCACAACACTGTCAAACTATTTAGTAAGACTGTATTACTGTTATTATTCTCATCCTTCCTATTACCTATCTCCTCCCACTTATGACTATAACCATGTAGCTTGCATCTTTACGATTTGTATTGTTTTTATTTGTTTCCTAGTATGATTTAATTGCTTATTCATAACCTATGACTATCACTAAGTGTTGTATCTTACGATTCTTGATAAATGTATTTTTTATTTTTATGTACAATGAGAGCATATGCACCAAAGATAAATTTCTTGTGTGTCCAATCACACTTGGCCAATAAAGAATTCTATTCTACTCTACTCTACTCTACTTCTATTCTATATACACCAGGTATTTATTTATACAAACACACATACAAACCAAATAGATAGGTACATTTACATACCAACATATACACACACAAAACCTACGTGCCTCCTTCCTTCTTTTCCTCCCTATTGATCTATTTGGTTGTCACAGCAAATGTATTTACTGCCTCTAACCTTTACTTTCTATGAGGGTAGAACATTCCTAATTAATCTTCATCTCTTAAAGTAATTTAAGCTTTGGCCAGTCATCAAATCTGATTAATTATGTGCCACCAAGTCATTTTCAACTTCTAGGGATTACAATGCAGGCGGAGAGATGTTGAGGGATTGGGGGTTCTGTGACTTTGCATTCCCTCAGAAATTGCATGCTGATGGGGCAGCCCAATATTGTTCCCTTTTTCCTGCTCAGAAGGGTGCCAAGTCTGAATTGATTGTTAGCAGAGATCTTTAATAATATGACCAAAGTTAGAAACTGTGGACAAGAAATTATAAATTAACAATGTCAGTGGCTTATAAAGAAAATTTGTATGTTTTACAGGTGGCACTTACCCCCAACAAGAATAGCGAAGATGTTTAAAGGCAAATCGGCGAAATGTTGGAAATGTCATCCAATACCTGGATCATATTACCATATGTGGTGGACATGCATTGAAGCTAAAAGATACTGGACTAGAATACACATGTGATTGGAAAAAATGATAAAACAACACATAGATTTGAAACCAAAGATATTTTTATTGGGAATTATGCCTGAAGGTTATAATAGAGAGATAACATATTTAATTATTAATGTATTAATAGTAGCTAAAATTGTATTTGCACAAAATTGGAAAATGAGAAAAGTCCGACAGAGGAGGAAACAATTAGGAAAATAATGGAATGTGCAGAAATTAGTGGACTAACAATGGCAATTAGAGAACAGGAAGAAAAAGAGTATTATAAGATTTGGGATTTATTTTATGAATGGTAAGATAGAAGAATAAGAAACCTAAAGTATGTGTAATATTAATAATAAACTATAACTGATCAATCTTGAATGAGTAAGAGAATGAATATAATTTAGCAAGAATGAGATATGTTTTTTTAAATAACTACGTCAATAATATAATTGAATAAGATGATATAAAATATTGTTTAGAATGGTTTATAAAGATAATTAAGTAATGTACAATAATATTACTATACGCACAAGATATATGTACCCAACCAACACTTTGTAAAATTGAAAGATGGTTTTATTTGTTGTCTTTGTTAAAATAAAAAAAACTTTTAAAAAATAGTATGCCCAAAATTGCTGTAGCTGCAGCCACCTCAAAATTCACTTAGCTCAAATGATTCCAGGAATCCTACTGAAGTTCACATGATGGGAAATTACAATCCATCAGAACTTGGGTGTTCTCTCAAAATCTTGACTATTTACAGAACATAAAATATGAAAATCAAAGTAAAACACATTAAGGTTTGCTATGTTTAGCGAGTTCAATCAGCAGTTATATGCAAGATTTACTGAGCCTATTAGAAAGATAAATGTCTTAATGACTGTGGTTACCCATGGTTAATTGAACTAGTTTATTGTATTAGCTCAATTGTATGGATTCCTACTGTGTACAGTATTAAAGCATAAACTAACTCTGCTGCACGTGATTGCAGATTGTACATGAATGACAAGCTTGATAATCACATTTTACTCTGGCTGTTGGACCATTCATATTCTTCCTGCAGGCCAGTGTCTCTAACATGGGAATTTCAAGATGCATGGATCTCAACTCCCAGAATTCCTCAGCCAGCATGCATTTTGAATAATTCGGGGAGTTGGAAGTCCACACATTTTAAGTTCCCAAGGTTGAGAAACATTGCTGTAGGGAAATGATTAAGTACATGCAAAATCAAATAGTGGCCTTAGATCACAGTGGCAGGTGTATAGCCCTGCAAAGGTTGTTGGAAATCATAATCCTTCACTTTGGCCAGGCCATTAAGGCTGTTAAGACAATTTGGGGGGGGGGGGGGTAGATACAACCCATCTTCCTTGCACATGCTTTTGCAACTTTAATACAGCTCTCATCATCCCCATCCTTAATAATGGGTGGATACCTGGTGGGTTTTGTTGCTTAACAAGGCCATTCAGGGGAAGGCTGCCTAGCGTTCCTGCCATCTTTGCTTCTGCATCTCTAAAAGGAACCAACCACTGGCAACCACTCATAAATGTCTCGCAATTACTGCAAGATCTATTAAGGCTACCAAACCAATCAACAAGGGAGCTTTCACCGCGATATATTTTAAGGCACTGACCACACTGGCACCCAAGACATTTTTATAAGCTAAGGGGAATAGGACAAGACAATCCTGCTGATGAAGACAATCTCGATGATGATGTTACCTAGTCTGGTAACGAGACGTTCAGAAACTAAATTGGAAGAAGCTTGGAGAGCAAACCACTGCCAATATTTTAAGGTTCTCTATCCCTTCCTTCCCCCACCCCACCCACAATCTTGCTCCGCCAAAGAAAACTGCTACAGCCCCCAAGAATCAGGAGCGTAACAGAGACAACAACTCCGGCAAGACTACCACGGCCTGCGCGCCGCATCCCTCCCGGAATAGCTTCCGATGGGCTGCAAGCTCTCTCTCTCTCTCTCTCTTTTTTCTTTTCTCTTCTTCTTTTGCCTTAAGGCTGAGTCGTTCTGATTGGGCGGAACCTGCCGTCGTTTGGCCCGCCGGAGAAAGGAGTCCCCTGGCCGCGGTCGCGCTCAGGCGCGGGTGCGCGCAACCGAGAGGGAGAGAGATTGGCGCTCGGTTAAGCGCTGCTTGGAGCTTCGCCTCCTTTCCCGAGACCGGCGCCGGCGGTGTGGAGGTAGGAACCGACCGCGGAGGAGGAGGAGGAGGAGGAGGAGCCAGAGCCCCAACCCACGCCACTCCATCTGCGGCGCTGGGGAAGAGCTGCTCGGCGTCAGTCTCCCACGATCCTGCCCCTTCGCTCGGAGCACGATGCCCGGGATCGTGCGGTGACACCCGGAGCTTTGCGCTCCCCTACCCGGCAGGGTAAGTTCGGGGACCACCGATCCGACCTCCGAGTTCTTTTTTTTTTAACCCCCCCTTTCTCTCCCGCCTTCCCTTCCCGCGGTTGTTTCGCCCAGCACCGATGCTTGCAAGCTAGTTTTCAGAACAGATCTGACCCCCCCACCCCCGATCCTTAACGCTCTGCGCTTTCCAGAGCGATCTGGCAGCCCCTTTGCCTTCTGCAGTGGATACTGCCCGTGTCTGACTGGCTCCGCTGCCCAAGAAGCCTCCGGGTTTAGAGCCTCTCCAAGATCTTCGAATTTGCCTTTACCGAACCCACGCACAGTTTTGGCTTGGGGGGGGGCGCTGGGGGGGGGGTTTTGGGCAACCTCTCTACCTGTGAATCTCTTCCGGGCATTTGCCTCCCGCCTGGGTTTGTTATTGAACAATGTGTTAAGCAGCGAAGCTTCCTGGCTTCTCCTTTCCCAGGTCAGCCGAGAAAGGGTTGCTGGTGACTGCCTACCTATAGGGATGGGGGAGAGGCCCACACCCTTTCCAATGTACTTAAGGATGGATGGATGGATGGGAAATCAATTTCCCGGGTTGCCAAAAATTGGTGATGGGATGCAGGGTTTCTTCTTCCCTCTTCCCCTATCTGAAGAAGTTCTATTTTTTTTTCATAACGAAGTATTTTGCACAATATGCATCATATGCTCTTGCCTCCCACCCCTTTCATTGTAGGTTTCCAAACTGCTGTTTCAAACCATCACCTCATGGACATCTTACCTCACACACTTGAAGTAGGGGCTCTCCAAAGTTTGTTAGATGGGTTCTCTGAGGAACCGCCAGAATTGCTAGCTCTTCTTCCTTTCTCTGGTGAGCTGTAATGCATATATTGATTGTTAGAAGCTGCTATGGATTCTTCTGCTTGTAACATTGGCCTTCTAAGCCAGGGGTCTCCAACCTTAGCTACTTTAAGACTTGTGGACTTCAACTCCCTTTGCTGGCTGAGGAATTCTGGGAGTTGAAGTCCACAAGTCTTAAAATTGCTACAGTTGGAGACCCCTGTTCTATGCTACAGGATATCCTCCTCTCCATATTCCAGTTAATCCACTGCCTCTTGCTTTTGTAAGAAGTTAAGATGAATCTTGTTACTTGGTTGGGGCTTGTGCAGTTGTGGTCTCACATTTCTATTCTAGTCTATCGTTTCCTTAGTTGTGAATTAGAAGAGCCTCTTGCTGAACTGCCTCCCTTGGTTTTGTCTCAGTTAATTGAGTGTTTATAAATGCTCCCACTTGACCTAAAGAAGCTCAGAGAACAAAGCTGGAGGAACTTTGAATCTAGAGATTCATGAAACAATTGGCATTCTGTTCATTGGCAGAATATGGAGGGGTAATGTGAGCAAATGAGTCCCAAACACACAAAACTTTCCTGCTGGGCCCTCCCCTTCCACCCACCTTTTTTCAGGAAAATGTTAAGAAACTGTTTATAATCTGAAGGTGGTTACTTAAAAGGTTTAATCAAGAAACATCTTGATGTGCATGCATACTGAAGGCAAAGGTTGGCTCTTAAATTATAGATCATAGGATTGGTTTAAACTAATAGGTGATTTTATTTATTTATTTATTTTGTCAATTGCTTACAAGATAATAGGTATAAGTAAAAACATAGTTATGAATACATGGATACATATAAGAAAAATAAAAAAAAATAAAAGAAACAAAAGGACAGGGATGGTAGGCACTTTGGTGCGCTTATGCACGCCCCCTACAGACCTCTTAGGAAAGGGGTGAGGTCAATAGTAGACAGTCAAAGGTTAAAGTTTTTGGGGTTTGGGGAAGAAATTACAGAGTCAGGTAGAGTATTCCAGACACTGACCACTCTGTTGCTGAAGTCGTATTTCCTGCAATCAAGTTTGGTGCGGTTTACCTTGAGTTTGTATCTATTCTTTGCTCTTGTGTTGTTATGGTTGAAGCTGAAGTAGTCATTGACAGGTAGGACATTGCAATGTATGATTTTATATACTATATTTAGATCAGACCGAAGGCGGCGTAGTTCTAGGTGTTCTAGGTCTAGAATTTCGAGTCTGGTGGCATAAGGTATTCTAAAACGAGTAGAGGAGTGGAGAACTCTTCTTGTGAAATATTTCTGGACTTTCTCAACTGTGTTAATATAAGATACTGTGGGTTCCGGACTGATGAGCTGTATTCGAGTATTGTTCTAGCAAATGTTTTGTATGCTCTAGTTATTAGTGTAATATTACCAGAGAAAAAGCTTCATAAGATTAGGTTAACAACTCTTAACGCCTTTTTGGCTATGTAGTTATAGTGGGCTCTAGCACTTAGGTCATTAGAGATGAGTACTCCAAGATCCTTGACCCGACATTGGATCGTCAACAAGGTCTTGACTATTCAGCCTGTATTTTATTTTCTGATTTTTTTTTGCCAATATGTAGGACAGAGCATTTATTTGTTGAGTTTTGAAGTTGCCATTTGTTTGACCATTCTGATACATAGTCAAGGTTTTTTTGAAGGGTAGCAGTATGGTCTGTGGTGTTGAATAGCTTTACATCATCAGCGAAGAGAATGCAATTGCTCTTGATATGATCACAGAGGTCATTTATGTAGAGTATGAAACGAGTTGGTCCTAGAACACTGCCTTGGGGGACACCACTGTTGAGAGGTACAGAATTTGATAGGAGGCTCCCTATTTTGACCATTTGTTGCCTGTTTGACAGGAATGCTTCTATCCAGTTATGCAGGTGTCCAGAGATACCATAAGATTGTAGTTTTAGTAGTCGTTTGTCATGTACCACTGAATCAAAGGCTTTACAGAAGTCTATGTAGATTGCGTCTATTGCTTTGTCCTGATCAAGTTGTGTAGTCCATATGTTTTTGCAGTGTAAGAGTTGCAGATTACATGATAGTTTTTTCCAGAAACCAAATTGTTTATTAGAGAGTAGGTTGTTTGTTTCTAAGTGGAGGATGATGGATTGGTTAATAATTGATTCCATGACTTTACAGGTGACGCAGCATAAAGAGATTGGTCTGTAATTTTCAACTAGGCTGGGATCTTCCTTTTTGAAGATAGGGGTGACCGTGGCTAGTTTTGGCAAGGAGCTGGTCCTGAAAGATTTTTCAAAGATTATGCTTAGAGGTTATGGATAGCTTTTTTCCAAGTACAGACTGCCCCATGGAGGCCTACAGCACAGAGCTGGTGAGAAGAATGTGACTGGCAAAAATGTCCCAAATTCACTTTTACAGGGATAGCATAATAGGTCAGAATCTCCAAATTAGAACACTTAGACTTTAATACTTTAAGGCAGGGGTCTTCAAACTTGACAACTTTAAGACTTGCGGACTTCAACTCCCAGAATTCCTCCTCCAGTCATGTTAGCTCAGGAATTCTGGGAGCTGAAGTCCACCAGTCTCAAACTTGCCAAGTTTGAAGACCCTTGCTTTAAGGCAAGTCCCTCACATAGAAATAACTGGCAGTGAACATGAACCTTAAGGGTAATTATCACAAACATATCTGAAATCAATCTGTTTTTCCCATGAATTAAGGCTCACTTCTCGAGGATGATTTGAGGATAACCTAGGAACTTTGCTGAAACTATGGGTCTTGATCTGATCAGGACAAATCTATATGCACTGGCTGGGTGGCTTGTAGCTTAGAACAATGTATAAAGTAACCATTGGGATTTATTCAGTAAATCATAGCTAAGCAAACCAAATTGATATTTGTGAATCTAATAATTGTAGGGGAAAAGGGTAGAGTTTGACAGCATATTTTTCTTTCATTGTTTAATGTCCTTATGTCTAGATTGTATTTAGGTATATGGATCTAATAACTGACAGTATTACAGCTACCAGTATTGCCTAAAGTATTTGTAGATTCATAATTAAGGAACCACATTAACAATATAATGGATTTGAGTATCTAAAAGTACTCAAATCCATTATAATTGTCCATTATATTATGTTTGTTCTGAGAGATCAAATTGCCCAATACAGATCAGTATGTATTCTCCAACTTGCCCTCCAGGTGTTTTGGGTTATAATTCCAAAAATGTATAGCTAACATAGACAGAAAGAATTACTGAAATTGTAGTGTAACATACCTGAAGATGCTACATTGAAGAATGGTTTCTTTATTAAGTTTCTATAGTGAAACTTAATAATATGTATAAGGCTTTCTCTTTCTTACTTCTGTGAGTCAGGAAATGCCCACCATTGAACAGTGATGCCTTTCAGGAAGCCATTATTCTGCATTTGCATTCTTAATTTTCCTTGGGATAAATTGGCCATGAGAGTCCAGATGAAGAGTAGCAGTATATCTGTTTTCATTGAAGAACTTATCATCATCTCCAGGTAGAATTGGAGAATCCTTTCTGGACAGAGGTCAGCAAAGTTTGGGTCTTTTTATAAGATGACCTGGATGCCTCTCTCAAATTATTGAGATCTTGGGCAAACTATCTCATATTTCACATGGTTTTATCAATTGTACAATGCTCAAGGACTTTTTGGCTATTTTGTAATCACCATTTGAAGTTTCCTGATCTGGAGAGATTAGTGGTGTAAGCAGGACTGATATTCCTGAATTAGACTGGATGGATGTAAAGTAGCTTCCATTTTATTTTAGCAGTATTTTTTATAGTAATACTACTTTCCTAGTTTCTGCTAGAGATGTGATGTTTGATATATCCTGGCATTTTAGTTTGCCTGTTTTGTACTTCATGACTTTTTGTGGTTCCTATTTTTCACCTCTTTTTTACAGAGATAAACATAGTGAATAAAGAACTGTTCGATTTTCCATGTTTATTGTATGGAGTTTTGGAGGTTTACTGCATGTAATCTAAAGTATTTTGTTTCCTTCTGTATAATTGCACCCTTTACCTTTTACTTTCACTGTTCAGCATGGTATCATCCATTTTTTATCCCACTAGAATTTTATTCTTTGATTCCTGCAAGTTAGTCTGGAAAATATTAGATAAAACAGGATCCATGTCAAACGCCACTAGATAGTTTTTCCCTCTCCACATCCACTAGCTTTAAAGTTTATTTTTGATAAGGATTATCATACCTATCAAAGATTGTATTCATTTACAGAATTCATCTGCATTTTGTCTATCAATACTAGACTTAGTAAAGCCTTTGGAAAGGCACAACTGGGATATATAATAACACCTCAATGTTAGTATTGCCTGCCATTTATGGCACCATTGCTGAATATGCTACCATTCTTTTCAAGTAATTATTGACATGTTATGAGTAATGGATTCCATAGACACAGTTTGTGAAAATTGGTGACATATCCTGCCATTATATGATGAAGAAATACTAAGATTCTGTGATAACAATTTCTATAAACTAAATTTAACTCTGTTCATATCATACACATATATACAAAATCAAATTGCTCTCCAAACTCTTAAGACAATAGCCAATTAGGATATGGTTGCAGGGGTCTAAGTCACCCCCTTCAAATTAACTGTGTCTCCTCAATTATCAAAAGGTTGCCTACCTTGATCTAAATACATATAGCCATTTTATCTAGATGATTAAGTGAGGTCTTAATTATTTTTTCTACTGTCTGAAACAGGTAATGTTTCCTCAGTCATGTTTTCCTTTTCTATCCTTTAACCCATTTCCGAACCTGCCTGTTTTCTGATTACAGTATTTGAGAAGGCAGAGGTTTATCTGCAGAGAAAAATCAAGAGATGGGAGGAGTTGGCACTTTCCTCCCACACTCCTTTGCCTTTCACTTCCCACTCAGAAGAGTTGGTTGCTGGTATTGCTATCTAGCTAAAGGTTCTCTTCAGGGAGAGTTGATAGCTGGATGATGGTTAGCCACTCCTCTAATTAGATCATTCTCCC